CCCTTCCCTTCGGGGGCGCGCGCGGAGCTCGGCGCAGCCCGGCCCCTTCCTCCCCTCCTGCTGCTGCCGCCACCGTCTCCTCTGCTCCACTCTTGCCTCTCCTCTCCCCCCTCTCCCTGTTACAGTACATCCGGTGAGTGACGCGGACGCGGTCCAATGGGCGGCCGAGGAAGCCAGCGAGCGCTCCCAGAGGGAACGTGGGGGCGGGGTCCCGAGGCAACTGGGTGACTTTGGAAGCGCCGCGGGAGGAGGAGGGGCGGGAGGCGTCCGAAGTCGAGGGTCGCGCTCGTTTGCTCTACTTCCCGGGGAGTAACGTCCCACTCAGTGAAGTGAAGTTGGCTCCTGCGTAAACTGATTTTGGACTCCATGCAGAAAGCGAATTTTGGACTCCGTGCAAAAAGCGGCAAGGACTGTGCGATGGGGGCTCCAACAGGCCGTTTGTTAGGAGATGAGGCGGATGCGTTTTGGACTGAAAAATATAATCGATTTGCCTGGGCAGAATTCTCTGCTACCGTTTCGGAATGTCGTATGTCGGTGAGAATGGCAGATGCCGCGTTGGCGAGTCTCAGGAATGGAAAATAAAACTGCCAATATCAGAAATACTGTGCATCGTTCTGGTCACTGTATTGTAGTACTGGAAAAGATGCGTGATGACAAAACGATCGAAGCCGCCAAAATGATTGAGAGGCAGGAGCGATACCATATGGAGAAAAACGATAACTTGGGGCTTGGTTTAGTTTGAGGGGAATATGATTGTACAAAGCTATGCATTATGGTAGAAACATATGTTCCTCACTGACACTAAAACCTAGTCATTTAAAGAAGTGAAATGGTGGGAAAGTAATGACTGATAAAAGAAAATACTAGGCTGAGCATATGCTTAAACTCTGGCATTTAGATACAGCAAGAGCCACAAACTTATATGGGTTTAAAAAAGGATTCAATCAATCAGTGGAAGATAAAGCTATCAATGCCTACTGGTAATGACGACTTAATCTAACATGAGAGGCAACATGCCTTTCAAGACTATTTTTCAGAAAGGTGAACTAGAAGGTGATGTTATGCTTCTATTTTAGACTTATACTGACCACTCTGGAAACTGAATTTGGACCAGATGGATCTCTTGTCTGATCTAGTGCGGCACTGTTTATATGATTATTTCTTGTATTATTGAGCTCCTTATTAGTAAATAAATTAGCCTATTATTTAGATGCTCCTTTTCATTCATTATAAAAACAACCTTAAAGGGGTAGATTACCCTGATGCTGCTACAGTATTTGCCTCTTTATTTCAAGAATTCAGTCCTTTGTATTGCATGTTATGAACTATGTTTCAAACAAAATGAAATAATGAGTGGCATATTAGCTGTGAGCCATACTAAGATCAAGTATGCATAGCCTTGGAACAGATGCAAATCATTTCTGATCAAGGAGAGAGCCATCCTATGTAGGCACAAAGAGGTGGTCTTGCAGCTTCAAGAATCACATATTGGGAGCCAGGATATTTTTTTTCCCCTAACTTTTTTTCTTTTTTAAAATGTTCTCTCCTGTTTAAATCAGCGAGAGGAAATTCCAGTACCAGCATGAAGCTAACATAGTTGCTCTTGTTTCCAGAACATTCAATTTTGGAATTTACTATTGATGGGAACACTTTGAAGCACCTCAAGCCAGTGGAACTAGGAGTTAACAGTACCTTTAAAACTCTTTAAATTTTATTTATAAAATGTGTATATTTTTAAGTTGCCTGCAAGCAAAACAGTGAAAACACTGACTAAAGTAGTCTAAACCTCATGAGCCACTATTATCTCATTTCTAATCATTATTAGTGATTAAGGGAAGAGTCATGCCTAGATTCTGCAACTCCTGTAATTTCATGAATTCTGGAAGATGAAGCCCAACACATCTAAAGATTCCCAGGTTGAGAAAAGCCATATACTGAATGAATTTATTATTCCAAAAACCTCACTGTGTTCTATGTTATAAGTTATTTAAAGGGAAAAGTGCTTTAAAAATTCTGTCTTTGTTGATTACGTAATGTTCATTTCAATAAACATTTAGATCAGGGAGGTCCTCTAAAAAATGGTAGCATTTTCTATTACATTAGCGCAGCTTTTCAAAGGCTGGGGATGCTAGAGTATGTAATCCAGCACATTTGAAAGGGAACTGATTTGGAAAGACTGCATTAAAGTATTCTGCATGCACTGCTGTTGTACATGTAGTATAATTCTCTATCAGTAACTTCTGTACTCCCTGAATATTTTTTTTCTCCCATATCTTTTGAGGCCATATTTCTGTACACCATCCTAACACTAAGTAAGTCTTAAGTTTCTTTTTCAGAATGTTTAAGATACATCCTAGAATTAAGATGATAGCTTCTAGTTCTAATATGGAATACCTGAATATCTGTATTTTGCGGGGGGGGGTGTTGCTGATGGATGGAGGGACAAACATAAAATCTAACCAGATTTCATACTGTAGCCACTGCTCCATCTCCAACTTCTTGCAGGAGTGGGGGGCAGATAGGAAACTCACGTTGATGAGTAAATGATCTTTAGGCAAGCATTATCGTTATTTTAATTTTTACCAGTCTGGCTTATAAACTAAATTTAGAATTGAGATTTCCTCAGAGCTGTCAGGGTTTTCAGATTAGGGATTTAATAAAGACAATTGCACCAACTCCATCTTGTTTAGTCTTTCTTTTCCTTTGATATTTGATCATGAGGCATTAGCAAGGGCAGGGCATTAAGGTTTTTTTAGAATGGTAAAGTTCTTTGGTACATGGTATTTCCCATCCTGGGTATCTCCAGTTGTGTTGGACTTCATTTTCCAGAATTCGTGAAATGATAGGAGTTGAAATTGAAGACAATAACTCTGTTCATGCAACCCACTTAACTTGTTAGTGAATTAACCCACTTTTTAGTTCTCACAGTAATTGAACCAAAAAGATGTCTTTCACAACATTATAAGCCAAACAAAAAAGAATCCTAGCCAGTGTTAAAATTATTTCACTGGTTAAGTGTGCTGTAAGAATGTATACAGCTAGAGGGCATCAGTTTGGGCCAGACTAACATAAAATGGTGTCTAATAGGGCTATGCAGCATTTTAGATTCAAAGGCAAGGTGCTTTGGAATGCGTGGAGTATTCACTGCACCTCCTTAAAGCAGCACAAGATGCATTTTAGATTTAATGCATTGTTACATAATACAGTACTAGCAGGCACTATTTTAATACTAATAAGAAAAAATAAAACTTATATGCCCCATTTGTGCTTCTGTTTTGCAGAGTAATGAAAAATATAGTCATTTGCTATTTATCAGATGCAATTAGAATTTCAAAACAACCAGAAAAGCTTCCATACCTCTCTTGTATAAAAACTTCTGTGAGTCTTTATGAGAAGACTCTTGTCTGTTAATAGTTCTTCAAAAGCATTTAAGAATTTTTCAGAGTCTCCAAGTGCTCTACTAAGTGAGAATATTGAAGAGATGGATGCAGCCTTCCTTTGTGTGGAAGTGGCAGGATTGGAGATTGCCAGGAAACATACAGGCACTGTCTTTTAATTCCATGGACAGTAAATACAAATGAGAAGTAGAATGTTTCCAAAGCAACTGGACAAGTGTAGTGGGGAATTTGGATCCTTGCCTTTCGTCTTATCTCATTCCAGGTTGAGGTTAACTGTGATTAATACTAGGGAATCATACCCACAAGTGGCTGTTTTGCTAATATTCTCTGTGACATGATGGAGCTTCTATTAATATGATCATAAAGCACGAGAAAGGATCTTGGCACTGTACATAGTGCTTATTTACAGTCAACATTGCTTTTCACCCCTGCTGTGCTAGTGCTACTAATCCTTCATGTGTCTTAAAAGGGTAATTCAGTGTCAAGTCACCATCTCCACTGAAATGTAGTCCAACTATTGGATGCTATCTTTACCAGACAAATTACAGAATATCTCTTGATACACTGATTTTGTTTCTCCTTTATGGAGTGTGCAGTGTGCTGGGCATTTGCCCACAAGGTGTTTACACTATGATTTTTTAAAAAATAGATGGGAAACTAAGGAAATCAATAATAAACATTATGTTCATGCATACTCTGTACTAAATATTGTAGCAAGGCTAGAAAGTTTACTTTGAAGTTTTGCAACAAGTCAGAATATCCACAAATGAAGACATGACCAAAATGAATGCAGTATTATAATAGCCTTTTTATCCTATAATCTATAATACTTATTAAAGAAGTAGTTTGTAATTCTCGGATACACCAAACCTGAATAAGACAGGATTATTGAAAGTGCAAAACCAACACTTTCCATTAACATCTTGAAATAATTCCTTACAGATTCCTTGTGAACTCCATAGCAGGATTCTAGGCAGGATGCCAAGTTAAGCAAGCAAGAAGCTTAGAGGAGAATTTGCCCCTACATTAAAAATTAGTTGTCTATTATGTATAGGTGCATAGATGCTGTTATCCAAGGTTAGAGAAGACTAACTATGCTTTCTCAGATGGATATGCTGTTGTATCAAGAATTGCATGTGTCTAACTATCTAGAAACAAGCTTTGGAACTCTGAAGGTGAAGGGGAATTGTAGAAGGAGTGGGAAAATTCGAAAACTAATCTTTAATAGCAGAAATACTCTATTCTGCTTGAGGGAGCCTGAAAAAGACCTCTTTGGATCCTGACAGGTTGAATAATTATTCTTGTCTCTAATCTGCTTTTTCCTGGTTAAAGCCATAAGCGCATGGTGGTATTGTAGTTCCTGAGAAAAAGATTATCTGGATTTACTTCAGTCAGGATTCAGACCTTGGTTTAGTACCAAAATGGCCTTGGCCACTTTATTTAACAGATCTGTGCTAAGAATTAGATACTAGATGGGAGTGTATCCATGTTAGTTTTACTGGAATTTTCAGTATGACTGATCAGATAGGTCTCGGGGGGCATCATTTTACAGAGGTTCAGATACTTACATATTAGCGGTTCTGTTCAGTGTTATGGTGGTTACCCCTTGGTATAATTGATGGACTCATCATTTTCCTATTTTAACATTTACAAAAAGAATTTGAGGATGTTATGAAGTTTAATGTGGAGTGTCATTAGTATGCAGATGATGCTCAGCTGTCTCATTCCAGCTACAGCTGGTATGTCTATAGATGTCTTGAACTGCTGTCTGTTTTGAATGAGATTTAATAAGCCAAAATTAAATCTGATTGAGAAAGAATTATTCTTGAAGAATAGTAAGACTGATCTAGATCTTGCTATTTATTTAGATTTGAGAATGCTCCTCAACACAGCTTTGTTATTTGATACTCAGATGTGTACTTTGGCATAGGAAGCATTCTTTCAGCTTTGACTGATTGCAACCATTTCTGGAACCTAATGATATTGCCAGAGTGACCTGTGTCCCTGTTATTATAGATTATGATAATACTCTTGATTTGGAACTGCTTCAAAGATACTTTGGAAGTTACAGTTTGGTCCAAAATGTGGCAGTTAGAGCTTTGACTGACTCTAAAGAATAGCATATAGTTATTAGTT